CACACACACACACACACACACACACACACACACACACACACACACACACACACAAATAAATCCATCCACTCACCCTCCTCCACCGTGGCTTCGGTTTGTCAGCAGATCTAAAGTTTTAAGTTAACCCTGACTTAAGCTCCGCTTTTATTTTGAAATGATGTTTAAAAAAATCCTGTTCTAGTCACTGTGACGGCTGCTTCGAAGAAAACCACTTTTAATAAATTCTCCTATCATTAGGATGGAAGGGACCCCTCTCAGGTTACAATCCAACACTGCTTTTAATCATCCACAAACAGAACAAAGAGGTTTGATTTTTTTTGTATTAAGTTGGTGCCTTTTTAGTTTTTTTATTATTATTTTTTATTTATCACGTTTTGGAAATGGTTGAGATGTTTCTATTTGTCTTTTTGATGGTGCGTGGTTATTATTTTTTAAAGATCTGTGAATGTTTTCTTGTTTATCTATGATTTTGTGTTTTTGAAGCATGAACACAAGTAAATCTTGACGGTACGTTTCGTCGTTCTTCCCGCTGTAGAGCCGGACGGTCCGATCGAAACGGGACGTTTCGTTAAAACTGAAGCCTCTCTGCTGCTGAATAAAATGTAAGAATAAGTAAAAAATTTTACACAAAGCTCGACGAAAGACAGCAAATAAATGTATTCGCCACGATATCGACCCTTTTTTATTTTCTGTTGTGTCAGCCGTAGCACTTACAGCACGAGGAGCCAGCACAGTTTAGATTTTGCATTATTATTTTATGATGTAATTTGTGATTTAAATAAAATATATATTTTAGTGCTCCAGCTTGTTAAGTCCTAAATATGTCAGACTTTATAAATTTATATCTAATAGGAAAACTTGCAGCTTAATCTACTTGTTGCACCAAGCTGTTTGTTCAGGTATGAAGGATGTATTTGGCAGATTTTCTGTTTCATAATTAGTCAAATGTTTTAAATCACTGGCTGCGGTAGCGGTTTAGCAGTGTCTTGCTGAAAAATGCAAAGCTTTCTCTGGAAAGGACACCGTCCGGATGGGAACATATATATTTGCATAAACTTTTCTGTATCCATGGCGCCGTTCCAGTRGGGTAAACTGCTGATGCAATAAGCAGCAATGTACCCCTATACCATCAGAGAGGCAGGCTTTTGAACTGAACTCTAGTAATAGGCTGTATGATTCATCTCCTCTTCAAAATATTACAATTTGAACGGTAAAACAGTTTTCTACATTGCGTCTGTAACATTTTTAATGCGCTCTGGCTCGGACAAAAATAGTAACATCTCTAGATGTTTTTCACATACGGCTTCTTCTTTGCATGATAGAGCTTTAATCAGATTATGTGGAATCTTTGTGCTCAGATTCTTGAAATATTTTGATATGAACTGTAGCTGAAGGKTTATTTAAACCAAGTCTTTACAGTTTTCTGTTTTTTTAGACGTAATTTTTCACAGACTGGTGAACCTCTGCCCGTTTTTACTTCWAACGTTCAGCCATTATAAAAGGCTCTTTTTAAACCCAGTCCTCTTTACACACCTGTTGCCAGTTAACCTGAATAATTACGTTAGCTGTTAGTTTTACTTTTGCTGCCCTCGTCCCAAAATTTTGCTTCTATCAAATTCAAAATAACTGTGTTTCCACCACATTTTAGACAAAATTAGTTTCCGCATTTTTTATGTTTACGAAGTACCATTGTGATTGAAATATTTTATTTCAAATCAGGGTTGTATATTGAAAATAATTACCTTTTTGCATCTTTAAATGCCATTGGAGGTTGTAATCTTGCGATTTAGCACTAAAATGCTACAAATTATTATTATTATTTTTATTTTCTGCAGGTTATGCAGAATCACAGTTCACTCTGAACAAACAGCTCGGTGCAACAATAAAAAATGTATTCATAACAGTTTGCCGTATCTCTGTCAGAACTATTTAGAGCTTTTCATTATGGACTTATTTAGCCATATATAGTAATAATAATAATAATAATAACTGACTCCACAACACTTGGTAATCTCTTAGCTGTGTATGTTAAACAAAGCTTATCATTTGTGGATGAATATTACAATATGTAAGTAGTTTAAGTGCCTGTTCAGGTCACCTCTTTTTATTTTCGTAACTGTCATCACTGTAAACTCCTTACCAACCAAAGACCTGGGGAAAWGTTGCAATAGTTAGCGAACATTCAATAAACGCATGTTTCACCAAGTTTCTGAAGGAAGTGGTTGAATATTATGCACTGAGTTCTMTGTTAGCACACAGTCTGTTTTACTGCGAAGACTTGTGTTCTTTTAAAAATACTGATTTATTCAGGTTGTTTGCGTTCGCATGACTTTGTTTGATTTTTATTGTTTTAATTTTTTACATGTTTTGTTATGCAATGTGGGGGGGTGGGTWTGTGCGATTGGTTCCATTTCTAATTTATTTTTCATGATTTTTAAGAGCAATAAACATCGTTTGTTGTAGAAGACGTGTTTGTGGTTGAAATTTGTTTACATTGTTATGTTTACAAGTTAGTGGATCCAGTGTCACAAAACACTCTTTGAAAAGTGATTTGTCCGACCTTTAAGCCTGGCTGCCSAGATTATCTCCACACGTCACCACCTTCACATTGCTGGAAACTGTAGAKGCTACTATTTCCATGAGGCAGCTAACCTGAGGTTCCCCAGGGCTGTGAGTTTGGATTCCTGTCTTTTCTTTTCTTTGGGCCAAGCTGTATTTTCTTTGAAACTATGGGATTTTATGTTTTTATCAATAAGTTAATTTCTATGATGAGTGGAAATGTTATGTTGCAAATTGTAATTATCAAAACTGTATTCATATTTGAATAAATGACATTCTGAATAAGGTGGTAGAGCTCTTTTTTTATTGCCCACACCCGTGAAAGGTGAAACATAATTTGAACTGCTTGACAGATTTTCATGAAACATGCAAAGTAACCATTTACTAACTTTTGGAGTCAACCCAATTCAAGATGGAGGCCACAGCTGATCAGCTTTGATGAGACAGAGTCATCGTTAAATTATTGTTTTCCATTAATGTGATTTTTTTTCTGCAGCTAAATCAGCACACTTTTCAGCTATTTTGACCTTTTTATATACCCACTTGTTAAAAAAGTTCAGGACGTTAGACGTTTGGTTTTTGTAACTCACCTGCAGCGCTGTGGGATTATAATCCTGCAGGTTTGAGTCCAGT